TTCCTGATGAAAGAATTTACCACTGTAAATTTTCCTCTTAAGACAGCTTTGAGGGCTGGCCAAATAGTTCAGTGGATTAACGCACCTGCAAGCAGGAGCAGGGGACGGGGGTTTGATCCCTGGGCCTGCCATGCCAGCCCCACCCCTGGGCACGCTGAGACAGCAACTGAGAATGGGCACAGTGGCACATACCTGTAATCCCAGCTCTTGGGAGGCTGTAAACAGGTGGGTCACTACAAGTCTGATCTAGTAGGGAGACGCTGAACACCCTGTAGACCCTTCCCTAAAATAAAAAAAAAAAAAAAAAAAGACAGTTTCATTGCATCCCACAAGTTCCAGTAAGTTGTATGTATAATTTTGTTTTATGGTAAATACTGTTCAATTTCTTAATTTCATTGGTGAACTACTGATCATTCAGGAGGGTGTTATTTAATTTTCATGTTTTAATGGACTTTTTGCAGCTTATTTTGTCAATAATTTCCAGTTTCATTACATTATGGTCTGATAGTATAAATGAGAGAATTTCTATTCCTTTCCAGTTACTTAAACATTCCTCCCCACCCCCACTCCCCGCGGAACCGGGGATTGAATCAGGTCCTTGCACTTGCCAGACAAGTGCATATTCTACTGAGCCATTTCCCTGGCCTACTTAAACATTCTTTATGTGCTAGCATATGGTCTATTTTGGAGAATATCCTGTGTGCAGCTGAAAAAGTTGTATATCCTAACACTGTTGGGTGAGCACTCGGTAAAGGACTACTAAGCCCATTTCTTCACAAGTTTGGTTTAGTTCTATTATTTCTTTCCTGAGTTTTTGCATAGTTGATCTATCTCGGTGTTAGCAGGGTGTTAAAGTCCCCCACCACAATTATTTTATTGCTCATTTGATTTTTCATGTCTATTAAAATCTGTCTTATGTAGTTGGTTGGTCGGACATTGGGTGCATATATATTTATGATTGTTATTTCTTCCCCTTTCAGTTGTCCCCCAACAAGCATGTAGTGACCTTATCTCTTTTAATCACTTCTGGTTTGAAGTTGACATCGTCAGCAACCAGAATATGGACCCCTGCTTTTGTTCTGGGATTCTGTCACATGGAGTATTGTTTTCTATCCTTTGGAATTTTTTTTTTTTTTTGGTGGGGTGTTTGTTTATTTGTTCGTGGAACCAGGGATTGAACTCAGGCCCTTGCACTTGCCAGGCAAGTGCTTATTCTACTGAGCTATCTCCCCAGCCCTAACCTTTGACTTCCAGTCTATGAAATTGTGTTTTCTTGTATGCAGCATACTGTTGGATTTTGGTTCTTGTTCCACTCTGCTAGTCTGATTCTTTTGATTACTGAATTGAGGCAAGTTGCATTGATGGTTATTACTCATATGTATTGGTTTATCTTTGTCAAGTTATTTTGCTGGTGTAATTTCCCTACTTTTACCCTCCATTTATTGCTTGCTCTGCTTGGTGGTTCCTTTCTGTTCTTGCTCTTGATATTTTGGTCCTTTTTGTGTCCTTCTAGAATATCTGTTGGTACTCTTTATAGGGTTGGTTTGGTGACGATGAGTTTCTACAGTTGTTGTCATGGAAGTATCTATCTCTCCATTACATTTAATAGTTCTGCATTGTTGGAAGTTGTTTCTTCCAGGACCTGAAATACTTCACTCTAAGCTCTTCTTGATTTGATGATCTGAGTTGAGAAATCTGCTGTGACTCTGATTTACTTTCCATTATATGTAATCTGGTTCTTTTCTCTAACAGCTTTTAATACTCTGTTCTTTTGCTAGCTTTCTGGGATCTTATGTGTCTAGGTGTACATCTGACTGTGACTAATTGTGATTCTATATGCCTCACCACTCTCTATGTCAGATTATTTCTCATGCTTGGAACCTTTTCTTGTACAACCTCTGCAGTCTTTTTATGTCATATGTGTTCACTCCTGGTGTTTCCTTGATAGCTATGAGTCTTATAGTATTTTTCTTTGCATCGTCTTGCAGCTGTTGCATTATTTCTTGGTTCCTTGTTTTGTTTTTTTTAACCTCTTTTATTTCTGAATGGTTTGAAGATTTTCCAAGCTGGTATTCCTTTTGCAATACTCTCCATATTTTGTATATAGACATATGCACTTACTAGAAACAAACAGTTATTTTTCATTGTGAGAATTATTCTGATTTTAGTAACCAATACATATATAAGTATTTATTGAACACTGATGTAATACTTATGATTATACAGTATTAGCTATTTATTTGCTTACTCTTGGCTAGCTGACTCACAACATTTCTTAGGAGGGAAAGGACCTTCTTTTATCTGTGAGAGAATCTTATTTTCTGTGCGTCAAATTCCCCTCATTTCATTGAGCTTGGATTTCTTCAGTGGTGAGCAAGGGCAGGGACCCCAGAGAATCTCTGTGGAGTTGTGTCCAGGGTGGGAAGGCTCCTGTTCAGAGGGACCTCTTTCTGCTTAGCATGACAATCCTCCTTCTTCATGCCCTCATGCACCCCAGAGCCGTGGCTTGGTGGTGGGCACCATAACTGGCAGTTTGTTCAGGTACATACTCACAATGTGGAAGTGAAGCAAGCTGAGTGGACCAGAGAGCTGCTTACCATTAGTTTGCAGACCACTGATCACTCCTGCAAACTGGATTGTCACCTGGAGAGCTTTCCAAGAATGCACAGAGGTGGATGGGACCTGCATGTATTTACACAGAGACTTTGGGAGTGGGCCTGACTCCTAGGTGACTCCAGTGCTCCAGCAGAAATGCAAACCTCAGGTTAAGAGGAAAACCAGGTAAGAGGAGGAGAATCCATTTGGCAGCCAGCTGTGGGAAGCTGTGTGCAATGGGAAGCTGTTCGTGCAGGCAAGGAAGTCCTTGTTTTCCTTCTCCTGTTGAGACATCCTCTATGATGGAGCTTTGTCAGGCTGGCCCAGCATGGGTGTTAATTCTCACAACAGGCTTGGCTTTGTGTGGTCTGAACTGAGCTCAAATACTTGCGGCTTTAAGTAAACTCACGAAGCTCGGTAATCCTTCATAGAGTCTGTTTTATGTGCACTTTTTCTCTTATTTCTAACATTAGTCTTCTGGGGCAGGGGTTCTTCAGCCAACTGTTCCATGCGGATCTGCAAATAGTTTGCACTTCTGTGTATTTGCTGGAGAATGAAAGAGAAACTGCTATGCCCATCCAAACCCACCAAACCACCCCCCTTCTCTTCAACTCTCTCAACTCATGTTGAGAAAGATCATGTAGTCCACATGAAAATCACTTCTCAGTTTCGCTCTGAATCTGATCCATGCAGCGAGCTGCGTACGAGGTGACCATCTTTTATTCCTCAGGCTAACTGGGAATCGCGGGAGACTTTGGCCTCTGGCCACGCATCTCTTCTCCGCTTCTCCTTTGGAGAAGCTAGGGCTCATCGGCTGTCTTCCCAGGAAGTTGCGCGCTCTGGTTCCTTGTTTTTTTTTTAAGAGATCTTTCCCTTCATGTTCATTAGCTGCAATGCTATCCTGAAGGTCAGACATTCTATCTTCAATTTCATTCAAGCAGTTTTACCAGCTTTCAAGGGAATTCTTAATGTCCTGGATATCTGCCTGAATCTGTTTCATGCATTGTAGCTCTCTCCTGTACTTTTCATTTAGTGTTTCCATCATTTTCCCATACCCCTCTATTTTTTACCTATGTTGTCTTTAGATGTACTAAGCAATTCTTTCAAGATTTTTGTCATTCTTTTTTTACCTAGGAGATTATTTCTGATCTAATTTTTCTATAGCCTGATGTAGTTGTTTCTTTACTTCAGTTGCTATCATTTCAGAAATTTAGGGAATGTGGCTTTCAAGTTCTTCTATGGCCTTGTTTCCTGGACTTGCTCTGGGTGAGTTGGAGATCTGAGATTGTCTTTTGCGCCTTCATTTTGACATTTTTTAATTTTCCAATGTTCACCTAGACTTAGCAGTGATGATGGGGGTAGGGAGCAGCTGGCCAAGGCTCCTTTGACAGTAGGAGGGCAGGGTAGGGCTCTACAAGTCTCCAGCTACTGGCAGGAGAGGTGGCCGCAACAGCCACACTCCAGCAACAGTGGGTGGAGAAGAAGGGCAGGGCTCACCAGGTCCAATAGGTGTCCTATGTCTGCCTTCCTTCTAGGATGGTGACACAAGCAGCCAAAGTTCAGCCAAGCTCCCAAAACATGCCTTTTTAATAATTAGCCTATTTAACTGAATACAACCTTTTTTTTCTCCTTGTTTATGTACTTGGTACAGGGTCTCACTACACAGCTCGGACTTGTAGTGATCCTCATGTTTTCAGCCTCCCCAGCACTGGGATTGCAGGCATGTGCCACCATGCCCAGTCTCAGCAGCCCACTCAGGGTGGCAGGGGCAGGGCCAGTGTGGCATCTGTTGCCAGCGATCATACCCCTTTTCCTGTTCTTGTTTAAGCAGGCGTTTAGTCTCCTGAGCTATCTCGCCAGCCCTTTGTCTCCTTTTAGTATCATGTAAATGTAATGTGTTCATTCTAAAATGGAAAACATGAGCCCATTTTAAAGGAAGTTACTTTCTTTTACTTTCTTTTCACTTTTTGGCTGTTGCTTTGTGGATCCATTCCTCATTCTGCCTGGTATCCATCCAGAGAGATCTCGGATGCAGCTATTAATATCAATTCTGCGTATTTCTCAGCAACGACATCTAAAATCCCTGTGTAGTTCTTATGTCATTTGCTTTTTATTTAATGAGTGATACTTTTATAAATACAAGAGGAATATTGTAATGAAAAAATCTGCTTATTTTCTATTATTTCTAATAGAAAGTCTACTCGGCAAAAAAAAAATTTCTAGTACTTTAAAGAAAATTCAAAATAAATGTGTATTCTTATAAAATAAGAATGGATGATAACAGAGAAACAAGCACAGACCAGATAAATATGAGCAGCAGGATATGTGATGATCCAACACTCTCTGAAACCCTTGCAAAGGCCTCCCAATGAGCCAAACTTCCTGGACTGTATCTCTGATTTCAGGTTGGAGGAAAAGGAATTTCAGCCATGCTGCTACTCTTCTCCATCCTAGAATTCGGCATAGCCTGCGCCACTGCACACTTTTGCACCCAAGCTATCAATAACCCCAGCAGGGTGAGTTGAGCTCTCTGTAAAATACCTGAACACATGCTGGAGGAATGCAGATGTGTGAGTCTATTCCATCCCAGATGTGTGGGGTGCACTGGCCCACGTGAGCTCAGTGGGTGCTCCAGGCCTTGTCTCTGCAGGGATGGGACATTTGAGTGGGCTACACTAACAATCTGGCTTGTTTCTTTGCAGTCTGTCTTGATCATTCCCAATGTGCATGCAACCAATCCCATGATGCACGAGTCTGCCTCCGCTCCTCCCACAAGTGACAGCCAGCCACCTTATGCACCAAGATACTGAACAAAAAAGGGAGCTCTGCTGAATAGCATGAGGTGAAGTACTTTGCAGAAACTTCTTGAAAGCTGACTCTAATGTTTCACGGTGCCTGCTAATCTTTAGATGTGTTTCAAGTTGGTTTCAGGATCATCACTAATGACAAAGGTCCCGATCTCTGTCTCTCAACACTCACCATAAATGCACACTGGTGAAAGAAAAAATGGAAACATGGCCCTGAGACTCTCATAAATTCAGTAATTTTCCTCTTCATGCTAACTTTCCCAAAATAAAATGTCATAAAGAACATAAACCTTTGGGATTTATTTGAAATTCATTTTGATCTGACATTGAATGTAGGGAAAGAGATCTAACAAAACATTTCAAGGCAGATGGGTATAGATTTTGGTTTTGTTGTTGTTGTTGTTGTTGTTGTTGTTGTTGTTGTTGTTGTTTTTAGGTAAAAGACCTTTACTATATCTCGTATTTCCTTCATTTACATAAGTATTGTAATTTTAACCATTTCAAATATATAATGAAAAGTACAGTTAATAGGATAACAATCCTCAACTCAATTTTTCACCCAATTTAACTAGTACTAATATTTGGTAACATTCCCCTGAATATTTGTAAAATAAAGTGTAAAACATACATTGAAGAGTGAAAAACATCATTCCTTCTCTCCCTAGAGATCTCACAATAAATGCTACTACTATTCTAATCTTTATTTTTTCATATTTAAGTATATACAGATCTATTATAAACAAATGCTGTATTAATATATTTTTCTAATTTAATATTGCCTACCATATCCTTTGACAACCTATCTTTTTCCACTCAACATTGTAATGTATGATGTATCCATTTTGACACACATAGATCATTTCTTTGTAATTATTAATGTTTAGTCTACTAATTTTTTTCTTCTTTTTTATTAGTTTTCTTGAGAAACAGCAATAAGACAGTTTCAAAACCGATTAATAGGACAGTTTCAATAATTAATACATTGCATATTATTGTTTTCATAGTAGTTATTCATCGTACAAGATGCAGACGTGATATCCTGTCCAAACACTATTAGTACAAATCTTCCTTCTCATTGAATTAAGAGAAAGTAGCTACATATCTTAATTATTTTGTATATATAGATACAAAATGGTCCTTCACTTATATCCCCTTTTTTTGTTTAGTTTTGTCAGAGATGGATATTCCATTGCCATTTAAATATTGTAGGTGTGTGAATTCAGCAAAATAATCCAATATAGTCCAGTAGCCCATAATAGTAGTGGGTTACCTGTAGGACTGGCAATGTCAGAAGTTGTTGACTTGAGCCTTCTATAGCTCAGCATAGTAATACGGCTTTACTTTTTATACTTCATTTTTATACTTTTCTGCTGGACCAAGATAAAGCAAGACCTATATAACAGGAAATGTAACTTTGTATCTGATAAGGTCAGTCAAGTCCTCTCAGGATTTATCCTGTAACCCTGTACTGCAGTTGGTAGATCCTTTGTCAGTGTCAGCCCTGTGGATGAGTCATGGTCATTGCCTGACCAGTTTGCTCTCTGTGAAAGCCTGAGAGAATGTTTTCTCTCTATGTGACTCTCCTTAGGCACACTATGTCATCGATCACATTGCTCTGTAGCCCCATAATCTCCTTGATCAGAAAATTTGGGACACAACTGAGTTACATGTTGAAGTACAGGTTCTCTTATATCCTGAGTCTTCACTGACCTTGAAATGCCTGGGCCAAAATGTTGGCTGTCCTTGTAGCCCTTCTTTTTCTCTAATTTTTGGTCTGCAAACTTAGGTTGTTAACCCTCCAGAAGAGAAGTTATTATTACCCTACAACATATGTAGTTGGGTTGAACCTCACTATCTGTCTGAATATCAAACATCTTAGGCATAACATGGAACAGGTATTTTCCATCTATTGATATGTTAAACTTTAAGTATCTACAGAATATGGAGAAAAAAATTTAAATAAAAAATATTTTTAAAATATGAATAAACAATTACATATTTTTACACAGAGATTTAGAAATCTAACTGCATACGGCATTGCAGCAGGACCATGAATTGCACACTCACCAAGTCAGTGGAATGCTTTCCTGAGCCACCTCCCATCTCTGCTCAGAAAGCACATGCCCAGTGGTGTGGTTGGAGCCACATTGTCCTGCACACCGGTGTCCTCAAAGCCTTCAGATTTTTTATGAGTTTTGTTATTCACAGAATATTTTCCTGTGCATTAAAATGCACAGAAAAAGTCACAGGACAAAAACACAAGGAAGGTATACAAGGGTTTCTGGTTTGGTATTTGTTTCTGAAATGGGAGACACGTTGTAATGCTTCAAAGTTCCCAGGAACAACCCTGAGAGAAGGAGGCTGCAGGAAAGTGCAAGCATCAAGAGCTCAGTGCACAGAGGGAGGGCATGGCCTTCCCAGGAAGAAGCTGGTTTCTGTAGCCAGCATATGGAAAGCAGTGGTCTGCAGCACTGAAGGCTGGAGCCCACACCCAGACAGCTTCCCAGGCCCTGAGTAATCTATCCTTGGTGTAAGTTTTCAGCTCCAGAACAAATAGACGAACATGCTTATCTGTAGAAAGCTTGTAGGACACTTGGAAAGAACTGCCTTAGTCCCTGCCAGGCTCGGTTTGGGCATGAATCTCCCAGCGCCCGTTATGTTTGTCAATAGTGGCATCAGTGTCAGTGAAGACACAGCTCAGGAACTGCCGCCCTCAGCAAACACAGAATTTCATTAAAAAGATAAGCTAAAGCATGGAATCTTTCAAACACCAGGACACCTGATGACACTCACATGTTCACAGTGGAAACCTCACGGGGTTTGCTCACTGAGGCAGCAAACATTTAGAGAACCTTGAGCCACTGATGTTTACTAAGATCTTCCCAATTAATGTCTATTGCCGTTTTGCAATCCCTGAAAGAAGGCTGCTTTTCTTTGCTCCCTATTCATGGCCTTTTTGCCCTCTCCCTTTCTGCACCTGGCACAATGAATCTCAACCCAAGTTGCCTTTAAACAAACCAGGTAGTCTCTGCCAGTCCCAGGACATCAAAGAAACTTTTTTAGGACTCTATAACTTTGGTAAATTACCCCATCTCCTGAGATTGCTAGACCTTCCATGAACTGAGATCAACAAGTATACCGAAAGGAGGGTCAGCAAGAGAGAGAAATCCCTTTGGCTTCCACAGAGAGCTACATGGTCAAGCAAGACCATGACCCACCCTGGCGGCTGACCCTGACAAAGGAGCAGAGGGTCTGTTCTCATGGCTTCAAGAGCACTGGTGGAAGAGGCTTACCTCAATCTGATAGCAAGAGGACAGCTCTGGTTAATGCAGGTCTCATGTTAATTTACTCTTAAACACCCAGCAGGAAGTATAATCAAAAGAGGTGCCTAACCCTTTTGGTAAAAAAAAAAAAACAAAACCTTAAGTGGTCCCTTCCTCTCCTACACAAAAGTAAAGTCAGTAACATAAGCTGCCCTGCAGGGTCAGATGGCACTACACATTCTAACAGCAACACAAGGGGTGCCTGCGCCATCACAAAAGCTACGTGCTATGTGCTCAGGGCTCATCCTGCTGCTACTATCTCAACGGCTGTGCGAGACACAGTCGCAGGCTAAGGCCGCAGCAGGTTCTGAAATTCCCTAGGCCTTCTCCTCATCTTCTCTGTGAAAGACTCTTACTGAGGCTTCACAGAGAAAACACTTGTTGGCTTTATTCATAATGGCTGTGCAGATCTGATTGCTTGGCCCATGCTTGCTTAACTGGTTCTTTGGCCTTATCTCTTTCAGACTTAAAGCTCTATACCCACCCAAGATAAGAACTCCTGACCTCTATCCAATGTCTTTCTAATGCACTCTCTGGAGACTGTCTCTAGCTGCCATTCGCAGGTAGGACACCCTTCTGTATGAAGAAGCCACCCATACCCCTCATGTCAGCTTGAGATACATTTTAGAGGAGGGATATTATAGCGCAGCTCAGCCATGTTGTGCTATACATTGTGCTATATATATAGATAAAGATATATGGATATATAGATATACAGATATGAATGACTAGGCTCTCCAGAGGGGCAGGATGAGACCAGACCTCTACCAGCTTCCTCCATGTTCACATCCTCTGTAACCAGCACACCCTGCAGACATGAGGAAATGGCCATCTGTGTAACACTGTTAACTACAACTCAGACTTCATTTTGGAATGCACTGTATTCTGTGTGTGTGAGAGAGAGAGAGAGAGAGAGAGAGAGAGAGAGAGAGAGAGAGAGATTCA